GGGAGTTTAGTGTTTGTTAGTGTTTTTTTCTTTTTTTGTTTGTTGTGTGTGGTGTTTATTCTCTTTTTGGGGTTATATTCTTCTGTTTGGAGCTTATGGGTGTGTTGTGTCTGTGTGTGTTCGATTAAGCTGCTAGATGAGTGGTCCTCCCAAGGATTTCAGCCGTGTAAATGCTCTCTCCGGCTTTTACTGGTTGTTATCTTCTTGTAATTGTGTGTTTTATTTATAAAAGTTTGTCGTTGAAAAAAAAATTATATATACTTACCATTCTCACTCTCGATTAATTATTTTCTTCTTACCCAACACATATTTTGATTCAAACAGTACAACATTAGTTAGTTAATAAAAATCTAGAAGTTGATCATACAAGTGGAATCACTAAAATGAAAGGCGATATATAAATCCATAAAAAGTTTTGATGTTACAAGACTAATATAATTGACCTAAAATGGCACTTTCTGTTCCAAATAGCTTAGACAAGTTGATATGTTATTTGAAAATATATATGTATATATATATGATATTATTGATCAGTTTTCACGTGATAGCATTTTCATTGCAGTCATGTCTGTTCCCCAACTTCAACAAGTTGAAACATATTAGGCAAAGCACATTACAAAGTTCCAAACCAGCAGGTTTTTCACTCACTAGCTACGTGGGGTGGGGTGGACGATCGACATTAATTATCAATCTTATCATGGATAATTCAAGAAAAGAGTTGAGAAAATTGAAGCCACGCATATGTCTCGGAGAGGACACACACATACCAAAAACAGAATTGTAGGCGCCTAACACACACACACACACACCCCATTCCTAACGAAAATACTCTACCTGCAATCAGATAATGTTGTTGCATTCTTATTTAATTGGGACGTACGGGGGGAAAAGAAAACCATTTTGTTGGGGTTTTTTTAACCGTAGATTATCTGTCATATACTAATCTACATATGTATCTGCGTTAAAAACTACGACGGGATGGTAACGAGACTGTAGTCATCCACGTAAGTTTTATGGTCCCTATATCACCCTATCTTTTGGGTTTGATGTCTAGTTTTATTGCTCAGTTGGCGGTTGAGTAGCCACAGTTTTTTGGGTGTGACTCGGTAGTCAGTTTAGGTGGTCGTGTGATTCAGCTACTAGGTTTTAATGGAGGTATTATTCTACTTTGCTTATAGGTGTGAGTTGTTTTATATCTTTTTTGTTTTTTTCGTTAAGTGTAGCGACGTCTGGCATTCAGTCTTCGTTATAGGTCTCTTTTATAGAGTTGAGTTTTGTGTGTAAGGTTGTCTCATCGATAGAGTTTGACCACTAAGACTCATATGTATTTTCAACAGGTAAGTCCAGACTTTTTGGTACCCTTAGTGTCAGTTGACACCCTATTTTTACTCTTTTTCGAATTTTCTAGTTATTGATATAACTGTCGTTTGAAAAATAAAAATACTATTAAAATTAATATATTAGGAAAAAAAATCAAAATATTTATAGTATACATCAATACAAATCATAAAAAAAAATATATATTTTTTAATACGTAATTAAACATTATTGATAACATTAAACTAATTTACCATTCTTTTTAAATTAAGTGTCAGCTTTATAATATTATTATATATATTTTTTATTTTACTATCACTTATTTTGGAATCAAAATAATATATTGTAATAAGGTATGAGTAATGAATGAGAGAAAGAGAAATACTTTTACGATTATTATTTATTGACAAAGTTGGAATATGTTATTTTTCCATTGGACGAGAACTCAAAAATAAAAATTATTTTATAATGGGTGAAACACACATAAATCACATAATAAACTATTATATATCGTAAAAAAAAAAAAGATAACAGATAAATGTTTACATTAATATTTAAAACTATTTTTATACAATCATTATTCTTTTCGCTTTTTAAATTTATTTGATTTATTATTACCATCTCATCTTTAGTAGCTTAAAAATTTATTGCTTACAAAATCTCTTTTAGGAGATTTCTGGACCAGTGTATTTTGAAGATAATACTGTTGCAAGAAAAACAGATACAGAAATGACAACAGAAACCAGTACATATGATAAGTACATATGATAACTCACTGATAAAAATTCGACGCACGCAAACAGCTTTCAGTC